AAGTCAACATGTCTTAATTAATTATGTGGTGAACTGTTCAAATGTGAGCACTGCTGTGTTACTAAACTGCATTTCTTGTTTTTTTCACAAAAAAACTTTTAATTTTCATAGTAAGGAAGAAAAAGCTAGGTTAAATGAATGACAATCAGTATAATGGGTTATTTACAAAGCGCGAGGGCAAGATGGCTGGACATTGGCCAAGTTTTTTTTTTGCGTGTGCATGAACTGAGACAGTCCAGGTCCAAAATCTGTTAATTACACATGGAAAATAGAATGAGGGCAACATCCAGGCATTTTGACCAAACAACGCTTTTGGTCAATAAATAAGTTATTAACTGGGGAAAGAACACTATTTCCTTGAAGGACACGTACCGTGGGTAATCCTAAATGGGCAAAATAGTGGCATCTTACACTTAAGAGAAATTATTGGATATCATTATTTGAAGGAAAGCTCATAAGAACTCTACTAACATAACTAGTATATTCACTCTCAATTCTATGGGGTAATAGCTGATTTGGCCTTTGGCTCGTCAGTCTAATTTTACCTTGTCCTGAGTGTCAGAAAAGAACTAGTGATCCTCCATAATGATTGCCATTCTGTTTCATCTTGTCCAGTGTAAGAACTGAAATAGTAATTCTCTATACTTACTGTCATTCAGTTTTATCTTGTCCAGTGTCACAACTGAAATAGTAATTCTCCACACTGACCATCGTTCAGTTTCATCTTGTCCAGTGTCACAATTGAAATAGTAATTCACCACACTGATCGTCACAACTGAAATAGTAATTCTCCATGCCAAATCTTACTCAGTTTTATCTTGTCCAGTGTCACAGCCGAAATAGCAATTCTCCATACTGTCGATCAGTTTCATCTTGTCCAGTGTCAGAACTGAAATAGTAATTTTCCATGCCGATTCTCACTTAGTTTTATCTTGTCCAGTGTCACAACTGTAATAGCAATTCTCCATACTGATCGACATTTAGTTTCATCTTGTCTAGTGTCAGAACTGAAATAGTAATTCTCCACACTGATAATCATTCTGTTTCATCTTGTCCAGTGTCACACCTGAAATGGTTAATCTCTATGCTGATCGTCCTTCACTTTTATCTCGTCCGCAGTGTCGCAACTGAAATAGTAATTCTCCATATCAATTATCATTCGGTTTTATCTTGTCCAGTGTAACAACTGAAATAGTAATTCTCCATACTGGATTGTCATTCAGTTTTATCCTGTCCAGTGTCAGAACTGTAATAGTAATTCTCCATACTGATTGTCACTCAGTTTTATGTTGTCCAGTGTCACAACTGAAATTTATAGTAATTCTCCATACTAATCGTCAATCAGTTTCATCTTGTCCATTGTCACAGCTGAAATAGAAATTCTCCATACTAATC